TAATGGCAAACAACTTCCACAATAGACTGCGATGTTGAAAATTCCTTCTATAACCTTTGGCACATCGGAGATTAGGCTCTTAAAGCATTTCTCTATAGGTTTTCAAATCTTTCCTCTAAAGCTCCTAATTCCAGCTTATAACAAAAAGCTGATTCGTAAATTTTAGGATAACTTAACATAATGAAGCTTCTTTTTCCTAGTGCCATTTGTAGTTTTTAGTCAAATAGCCTTCCAAGTAGGGCTTTCTATTTCACATTCACCGAAGGACAGCGAAAGGATTAAATTAGGCTGTAATTTTATAATAGCGGAGGGTAGTATTCGGCTTACCGACATCCACTGATGCAAGTTCATACTGAACTTTATCTTTTCATGCTATGGATCTTATTGGAATTAGGAAAAGTGAGCTTAAGGAGGCCTTTCAATGTATATAAAAATCACAGGGCAAATAAAATATCATTATCTTTTGGCAATACATAAAGGGTCGAATATGCAGAATGACAGTTAATAAGGCGAAGTTTTCTTAATTATGCGTAAAGTCAATTAAAAGTCATTAAATCAATAGTTAAAAAGTGGTTTTAAAAAGCACTTATAAGAACAGAAATTCAGTCCCACAGAATAAGGATAAAACAAGTGCATGCAACACATGCTCTTAGATTCGGGAAATGCCTTTAATCAATGAATTTATCTGGGAATTTTATTTGAAGCAGTTATTCGACTTATAAATATGAAGTATAAGACTCAATAAAGTGTTTGGCCGTAGTAGCCCAGTATTAGTTTCCTTTCATTAATGGCATGTGATCATACAATTTAAGTGCGTGTTGTAGTTTGTAGCCATGTATGCTTTATCATTTATGCAATCCTGATGAGCCAATGGAGCCCCCTTCATACTTTATATTAATCAAGCCTTCTTTCTTACTCGATATGTCATCTGGAACCTCTCCATCTAATACCCTCCGACAACCTTGGGTGGTTATTGTTCATGGTCCTACATTAATTCCCTCTAATTAAAAAAATGCTGATTTTTTACATTTTTTTAAATTTACAAATATTCTTCCTAATTTAAAATTCTCCAGGCTTTTAAAAACTAAGGCCATTAGTCGATTCAACCCAGTGTCCAGTAATTCTACATAGTTAGCCAGCTCAGATTCCCTAGACTCAACAATCGCTTAGTGCCGTTTTAAGTCAAGACAATCTCTCATGTTTTGTTAGACAAGATAACCTAACACAAAGACCATAAAAGTAAATAAATCGTAAGCAACCTAATTTAATTATAAGGCAGGCATATCCGAAGAACATACTAAACTATTTTAATTCTTATAATGCCAAGCCTTGTTGACAGCTTTCCCATTCGTGTCTGAAGCTGAAAGGATTGTAACATAAGTAAGCAATTAGGGCTATCCAACTCCTTGTCTTGCTCTCATTCGACTTTTATTGCTGTATATTATGCGATATATGA